CAGAGGGGACAGAGAGGACAGAGGGGACAGAGAGGACAGAGAGGATAGAGAGGACAGAGAGGACAGAGAAGACAGAGAGGACAGAGAGGACAGAGAAGACAGAGAAGACAGAGAGGACAGAGAAGACAGAGAGGACAGAGAGGACAGAGAAGACAGAGAAGACAGAGAGGACAGAGAAGACAGAGAGGACAGAGAAGAAAGAGAAGACAGAGAGGACAAAGAGGACAAAGAGGACAGAGAGGACAGAGGGGGAAACTAATCAAAGTGGTTTAAACTGGTTGAAAACACTCATACATTGTATTTCTGATCATTGCTCCACATGAATGTGTCTGTGTTCTGATGAGTTTATAAAACACCGTTAATCATCTCTGATAAAGTAATGATCGTGATAAACAACCATTTAATCCTCACAGTAACGTAAATGAAGACACTTAAATGACACGTAGATTTTCAGAAAGTTGAAAATCCAACAATCTTGATAAATTTTAAAACAAAAATCTGTCAGTTAAAGCCGCGGACACGTTCCAGGGTCCCCACAGCTGACTGAGCAGAAAAGGGTTCATACTAATGAGGTCCAGCTGTATTTAAATCTATAATTCAAATACTGACAACGTGAGAAACTACATCCAGATTTATATCTGGATCTCATAAATATTAGTCTTCTAAATATGTCTGATTAAAGAATGTTAAAGAAAGTGGATCCGCCCCAAATGTAAAGAGTTGTTTCCTGACCCGTCCCACATCCTTCCACCAGGTTTCGTGATGAAATAAAGTCTAGAGCAGCTGAAAACACGCCTTCCTGTTTTCACTCGCTTCACCTCCTCATTTCTTTTCACGTCCTCAGTCGGTCACGTCCAACAACAAGTGTGTCTGTGTGTTTTCTAACGTCGTTTAGGTTTAAAGCCACAAGCATTAAGATTAAAACCGATATCTCAACACATTCACTTTCAGGTGCACCTGTCCTGACCATCAATGACAAACTTCACCTCAGGTATTATTTAGTGTATTATTATAATTATCTTCCACTTTTAGAAGTCACAGATCCTCTGAAGGGTCAAACTAACAATATTCTTTCCCTCACAACATGTTTTGATTTCAATCACAAAACTTTTCTTATTCTTATCCTTGAAAAAAAATAAGCCCGACCTGGACGCTCCAGGTCCAAACCTGAACCGGCCGAGTGAAGCTGCCCTGAGTTTGTGTAAACAAATAAATAAAAATCAGCCCAGCCAACGGGACAAAACCCGACCAGAACTCGAATATCATTTGAAAACGATTGCTGCAAAACCTCTGAATTTGTCTCACCATCCGGTTTACAGCTGTGTAAAGACGCTGATGATTCAGCTTCTGAGAGGGGGCTGAGCTGACAGCAGCTTCCTACCTGTGGTCTGAACAGTCAACTCACAGCTGAACTTTCCGACTGCACTTCCCCCTCGCTTCTTTCTCTGTCTCTAGATTTAGAGCGCCGCCCCGCCGTACATTCCGCGTCATTTCACTTTGTCTGCTCTCACCCACATACTTCCTCAATTGTTACTGAAGGGACTGAAGCATCACCTCCTGGTTTCTGAATCAACGTCTGTTTGTCCAACTGCAGGTCTGACCTGAATATGTGAGAGACGTCAGTGACAGGAAGCTACGTTCACGGACACATACGATGTTTTCTCAGAGTTTCTTTCCTCTAGTGTGTCATACTGTTTCTTTGTGAATTTAAAAGTTAAAAATCTGAAGGCGATCCTGTCCTGAAGCTCCTGAAACACCTCGTCAGGAGTCTGGATACCACACAGGTGCACACACCCTGAGGGTCAAGAGTTCTGGGCGGAGCCTGCATCGGTGATCTCTGACCTGATCCAGGAAACGTCTCTTTCCCAGTTCCAGTCATGATAATAAGATGCATGTTTTCTAAAGAACAACACTAAGTGATGAAGCAGCAGAAACAACAACGTTATAACATGACAACCGACGATTCTGAAACTGCAACACAAACGCCCCAAATCCAGATACGAGAAACCTCAACCATGTCACCGCTGCAGCAAGAGCCTGTTGAGCTTCCGTTCATTTAATAATCCAACAAAACTTACATTAACACATAATTAACAATATAACAAGTGAAAACCATGAAATGATTTTTCTCTTCAAAGCTAAGATGTGTATTTGTATATGACACATGATACCTGACTATTTGTCACGTGACTGTTTTGGTCCCATCTTAACGGAGTGATAACACCTGAGCTAAACGTCAGACTAGTTTAATTCGCTCAAGTTGGATAATATCGATAAATCAAATCAGGAGCGTTGGAACATTTGGATGAAACTAAGTCCAGTGTCTTTTCTCTCAGTGTTAGGTCTCCACCACCTGCTGATGAATGCTCAAAGGGGACAGTGTCTCTGAGGACAACACTGTCTCTGAAGACAACACTGTCTCTGAAGACAACACTGTGGGAGCAGAGAGTGAAACCATGACAGCAACAGAAAATCCATCTGATGAGTGTCTTCTCATCAGGTGGATTAATACCAACCAACCAATCAATGAATCAATCAACCAACCAATCAACCAACCAATCAATCAATCAATCAACCAACCAATCAATCAATCAACCAACCAATCAATGAATCAATCAACCAACCAACCAACCAATAAGCAGACAGGCTCCTGCAGGCTGCACAGACCTGGTGTATGGTGATGGAAGTTGCCGTTGCCTCCAGGTACATTGATGCCCAGCTGTGTAAGTGTGGAGGCCAAGTTCCCGGTGCTGCTCCCGCCGCTCAGAGAAGAGGATCCCCCGTAGCTGGGCTCGTCCTGGTCCAGCGGCGTGGGCAGCGGGGAGGGAAAGTGCAGGCTGGACAGGTCGGGCAGTGAGCCGCCGGTGTTTAGAGACAAGGGGACACCGTGAACGGGCGTGGACGGCTGCTCCGGTGAAGTAAAGATGCTGACAGAGGACAGAATATTCAGACTAGATATAAATATATAGATGTGATATAGTTTAGTAATTCCAGTAATCTCATAGAAAACTGTAACAATATAATTCATAACAGTCGTCATCTGCTGCGTCTTCTTGATTTTCATGCTCAAACATTCATGTGAATAAATATTTGTATATGACCTTTGGTTGAACCACTAATATAATTTCTGGCTGCATCAAAGAAATGTACAGAAGTGGTCGTGGTTGACGTGTGATGAGTTTTCATTGCGTATTGTGGACTTACTTGATGCCAGGGACTTCACAAGATTTAGGTCGGGACGACAACAGAGGCAACTGGAGACAAGAAAACAAAAAAAAAATTTAAATTAAAAAACAACAGAATCACTTCAGCCTTAATTTATTGAAACTAGTGTGAAGTTCTGCAGGTTTCAACGAGGTAAAACTTTTAAAGACCTTTTTATGACTATTATGAATGTTTTTAAGACATTTGTCCATGAGGGGAAACATTTGTCCACTTCAGAACCTCATATTTACAGATATCAAAATAAGAATACTTTTAAGATGAAATTTTAAATCTTAAGAATTAAACTTTGTTTTTCTGCTGTTTGACAAACAGGAAGAAATGGAAACTTCACATATTCACATCAGAATCATTTTTAGGTTCAAATATTAAAGACAACTAATATAAAATAAAATGGATCAGCTCTTGATGACGTCACCTTCTTTGTGTCCCAGGGTTTGAGCAGTTTCCCCTCGTCCAACACGTTCTCTTCGATGGGAGGAACCGGGTACGGAAACACTGAGGGACAAAAGAAAGTTCACATGTTGTAAAGGTATAAAAAAGAAGGTCGACTTCAGTCAGTTTCATATTTATGGGCTCAGATTGAGAGATTGTCAAATTATCATGATTTTAAAAAGCTGTATTTCCTACACAAGACTTTTCAGACTGAAAGTTACCAATGAATGAGGAATGAATCTGTGAATGTGCAGGAAACAGGAAATGTTTAAAATTCAATTTACTAATCTACCACTACAGGTTTTGATCTTCTCGTCTTCTAATCTCAATGTTTGAATCCAACTCACTTCTTCTGCCCTCTCCATCACTCTGACCTGCAGGGACAGACAGAGAGACAGACAGACAGAGAGACAGACAGAGAGACAGACAGAGAGACAGACAGA